AAAATATTTTTATTGATTTAAAACATAGTTCTATGTATTGATTTAAATTTACATGCATCCGCTAAGAAAAATAGTCCGTTGTTACCGTTTTTTAAACAGTCAGAATGAAACGGCAGCTCTCAGCTGTGTGTTCACACTCCTAACTCTGATCTTTCTTTTCCAACAGTTAAGTTAACTGTAGGTTACTCTGAGTGACAAGCTTACAGTTAGTGAAGTAACACTTTTTTTTTTGTGAGTCACGACCTCGCTGTTTCATTCTAACATAACGCTCCAAATATGACTGTTTCCACTCGGACTTCAATACAGCAACACCATTGTTTGGTTTCCATGGTAGCGTGTCTCTTTAGTAGCGTGCACTCCTTTCCTGTAAATTACAGGTCCAGCCAGGCAAAACAGTAATATGAAATATGAACGTTAGTTTTTAACTGAAATGATCAAATAAAGTCAAAATGTCACAGTGTTTACAAACATTGACCATACCGTTCACCAGCCCCCACCCCCACTCTTTGTTTAAAACGAATTGGCCATCGGAATGTGTGTGTCCCAACCCCCCCCTGTGATATCTCTTCACAGGGGGGAGAGAGTTAGACGCTCGTGAATTGTCAACGGGGGGGTGCCTCTCTGCACGGAGGAGCCGCGGAGAAGTGAATCACAGTGATCTGCTATTTTAAAGTAAATTCAACACATATCGACCCTAAATATAGCATATATTAAGAACGAGAAAGTGTTAACATCGTTTTTTGTAAACATATGACCAATGTGCGAGGGTGATGACATCAGAGCATCGTCCTATGGGCTTAGCCCCGGACAGGTACAACAGGTATTCACTCAGAGGGGGGGTAGTTACCCATTTACATGTCAAAAAGCAACATACAGTAGGCGGGTGGGGGATGGTGAACGTTTACATTTCTCTACAGCAGTGGTTCCCAAACTTTTTGTGCCCAAGGCACACCAAAGGACAAGTAAAAATCTCAAGGCACACCTATTGTGCGAAATAGCCCTTATAACACGTGTTATCACTCATATCATGTAAAATATCTGTAAATGTGCATAATTATTTACTAATGCCAAATAAAATGTATAGATAGAACAATCAGTGGTTCAAGTTAGTATATTCCTCAGTGTAACATATCCACTAGTTGCAAAGCTTAAACATTTTTATATATTTTTTTATTTTAAGGGAAAGGATGTTTTCACTACTCAGTTTGTCAACTATGTTACGGACAAACTTGATGTCATTACAATCATTTGATTAAGTCCTGCACTTCAAGTAAAATCAAATTTGAAAGGCTCTTGAGTCTATTCTACCATATATCCAAAGATTTTTTAAAGTTTAAAAAATAATTGTATTAAAGTTTTGTTTTTTCATGTGATATGTTCAGCACTGTCATTAAGTTTAGGGATATTTTGTATTATAAAACTACCATACAGGTCATTTTGATAGTTTTAAGAGATGTCATGTAAAACTCCAACCTGTGTAGATATACATTATACTATAAAGGATATCAGAAGCACTATTTTAGATATTTTAAATTTGAAAAAATGAGGTGCAACATAGTTGACAATGAAAGTCAAACATTTGACGCAAATAACATAGTTGACTGGACACATTATTAACCATCAGCACTATGTTAATTTCAAGGCAGAAGTGCAAAATTCCATTGATAATGATGTGTAATGACGTCTACATGTCGTACAAATTGTCAACTAGGTTACCTGTCAACTAAGTTACTACAGTTATTACAGTACTGGGTAACCTAGTTGACAATTTCCCTATTTTGACCCATCATTTCAATGGTAGGCCTTGCCTGGATGACCACATGTCATTTTCTTGAACAGGTTAACATCACATTTGCACATATAATTGAATTAAAATCATTAAACAATTGTAAACCATAACAATGTACGTAACATTGTTGATTGTCAATGAGTATATTAATTGACCATGTGCTATTATACATAAAATATTGTAAAAATGTAGAGGACAATCACCACAGTGTGTTCAAAATGTCTGCCAAAGAGGAACATGGCATCATGTGATGCTGGTGACATGGTATTGGGACAAACAATTTTTGAGTTAAAGGGGGAAGTTCTGTTAGTAACATAGTTGACAGAACTTTTGCGGACATTCATATATTAAGATATTTAAATTATTTAAAGGGGGAAATCAATTAAAAATATGTTATTATTCTTTAGTATTTAGACTTTTGAAATAAATGAATCATTTTTTAAATTTACTTTAATGGTTTTTATTCATTATTTTGAATCCAAGACACCCTCAACTGAAAAACGGACATAGCAAAAACTGACAATTTAAGAACATCATGACACATTTCAAGCTAAATAAAGCATAGGATGCACATAATGTTTGTGTGATATTATAACATGCTTTCCAATAATAGGCAAAATATGATATTTTTGAAGAAAATAGTTAGAATAATTATAATTATCATCAATGGACATCAATGGACATGGAATGTACCCTAAATTGTAGAATCACTCAGCAGTTACATACACCAAACCTTCCAGTTATATTCCTATCAATATTATCAAGGCTTTTACAGAAGGGTTTGGTCATATATAATTCATAGCCTGAATTATATAACATTTTATACCTAAAAACATGGTGAAAATTGATATTTTAGGGCTGTTGACAGTATTTTCTGATTTATGGAGTGATACAAAGAGATATCCAAAATCCCTTCTGTAAAAGCCTTAGATACTAATATGACTACAAAATGAAACAATAATTTTGATCCTGGCTTTATCCAAAGTTCAGATTTCGGTTCCTGAAATGTGTTAAATATGCGCATATTTCATGAGATAATGGTTCATTTGGATATTTAAACATGCTATTTCAGAAAACTTGTAATACAAAAAACAATTGCCTTATTGTAAGTAATTAACTGGAGAAATATTTAGCTGATATCTTTAAGTTAAAAATACCCTATTCACCTGGGGTTGTCTCGCCTTAATTAGATGTTTGATAAGTGCAGATCACATAGTAAAACACGTACACAGATACATTATTTTGTATTTTTATTAAATTCGACAATGTCAATTTCACTTTCCACTATGTCCACCGTTGTTTTTCACAACCAATGGCAGAACTTTATTGAGGCCTGTAATTAGTCAACTACAGGTCTCTTGAGTCAGTCTTTTTCTTCCAAAAAGCTTGTGACAAGATGTTATTGCTCTTGGGGCATTAAAAACAAGATTTTAACTTTAGTTTTTTATATAATATCTGCATTTTCTATTGTGAAAAACTAAGTCTTAGTTATTTAATATATAGCGCCATCTCCTGGTTAAACCCTGAAATTGGAGAATAGTGGGAGGGCCTAACATTCCTGAATACTGGTCTTTGGCAGGCAACTGGCTGGCAACTGGCTGGCAGTCGGCAGGAAGCTGTATGCTGGGGTCCAAAATAAGAGGCTCCATCTGTATCTTAGCCAGCGCCATATAGATAGATTATATTTATATGGCGCTGATCTTAGCTATCTCTTAGTGGAGGAAAACAATTGTGACATCACTTACGCGACTCTGGGATTTGTAGTCTTTCTAGTTACGTATTTTTCATAGTCTTATATTTCAACAGTTTTACGACAAACTGTGACTTTTTTGACATGGAAATTATTTTTTTAAGATTGACAAACATCATATGTGTAATTCATGGCACAATTCAAACGGGATCGAAAGATAAGTTTTCTCTCTCCATTGACTTCAATGCATAATTTTTCCGAAATAAGGTCCCATGGACCGGAAGTAGATGGGCGTGACTTCGCCACTCTATACCACAAGGTGAGTTCCTTTTTATTTCCTGCTTCTTCCCACACATGCTCTCCAGTACAGGTTAGCTCTGAGTGTTAGCGATGCTAATGTAAACACCGACCATATTACGTCCATAACAGTCGGGCATTGTTTCTGATAGCAACGTTTCTGATAGTGCCGTGGGTCCGCATTTCAGATATTACATCATATCGGATGCAAATCTGGATCAGCTCCGTTGTACCCCCATTTTTAGAGATTTGGGTACGGAGGAAAAGAGAGAGGGTTTTATTTTCTGACGCTGCGTGAGTTCCCCGACACACCGGGGACACATAGTTATGTATAAAATACATCAAAAAGTGTATTTTGCATGCCTTTAAGCCACGATCCGATAGTATTGCGATTCTACGATATGCTAAGTATTGCGATGCGATATATTGCGATATTGCAGATCACATGGGTCATATCCATGTCCGTCTTCCCTTGCTGGTTAAAACATGTATTTGCAATATGAATAGTTTATGTAAATAACCCAATGTGTGTTCTTTGAACCTGAAAAGGAGATGTTTTTGTTACTTTCATTGCAATTGTATACATGTCTTAACTTCCTGTTTTATATAGACATGCTTTTATCTTGAAGGCGACGTTGCGCTGTTAGCAGGAAGTTACTGTTCCCAAAGCAAAAACAGAGAAAAAGAACGGAGATAAAGTACAGATATTAACGGAGATATCAACATTTAAATACGGCGATATCAAAAGATAAAGTTTAGATTTAAGTGTTAGCAAGAGGCTCAAGGTCAGTGTTAACATAAACATGTGCTTTGTGTCTTAATTAGTTTATATACTGTATTATAACTTTGCTAACTATTTGAAGTTCACTTGTTGAATGGTATTCTAAAGTAATGCTCACATGGATGAAGCTTAAATGTATTTGTTGTTTTGTGTCTTTGTGTAGCTCTTACGTTGGTTTTTGGAGTTTTCAATAAATTAGAACGTGTCAAGTGTACGACCATCTTTCGGAGAGATGTGCTACAGCTTATATCATAAAATATCCATACTTGGCGTCCGTGTATCGATACAATATCGCCACGCAAAGTATCGCGATACTATGCTGTATCGATTATTTCCTCCACCCCTAGTATTGCACAGGAAATCTAAAATCACAATCTGACAGTAAATGTTTTGAAAGCCTCATCTGGAGGAAGTGTCTCAGGTTCCCTTTCTGTTTCCTGCAGAGATCCATCCCTCCGTCCTCTCCCTGGTCGCTGTGCTCGACCTCTCTCTGAGTTCAGCTGAGATCCAGCAGCTGATGCTGACTCAGCTCCTGCAGAACAAGAAGAAGAAACTGCTGAGTCGGCACTCACAGCTGCAGAGTGACAAACAGCTGCTGGAGCACAAACTGATCTCAGAGCAGGTGAGCAGACACTTACTGTCAACAAGTCATTCAACAAGTCTGTCAACAAGTCATACAACAAGTCATACAACAAGTCTGTCAACAAGTCATTCAACAAGTCATACAACAAGTCATTCAACAAGTCATACAACAAGTCTGTCAACAAGTCATTCAACAAGTCATTCAACAAGTGAATCTGCAGCAATGTATCATTCAAATTGTTGGTAAATGCTGAATTGATAGTGAATTTAACCTTTTTTAAGTCAGTATTGTCACTTTTTCTGAAATGTTCTGAAAATAATAGCATTTAATTTTTTTTTAAAAGACTCACTTTTGGTCAGATCCCAAATACAATTCACATGTGGCCCTAATCCTCTCCCGTAAATTCAGAAATGGTAGTCACTTCTTAAATGAAATGTACTATGTATTATGTTAACCCTAGAACCGCCAGGGGTCGCTGTATACCTAAAACCGCCAACGGGTCAAATGTACCCGCTATTAGAATGCATTGATTTTCAAGGTACAATGTTCTTTTATTTATCATACTAGAACACAGGGTTAACAGTGAGCTTTGATCGCACAGTGATGAAACTTATACCAATATAATGGGACTCAGCTTCATAGATATCTAGTTGGCATGAAGTAAAAGATCGCGAACGTGGATGGGCAAAGGGCGCGCGAGCGCGCGCGCGAGAAAGAAACGAGCGCGCGCGCGAGCGAGCGCGCGAGCGAGAAACGAACGAGCGCGCGCGCGCGCGAGAACGAACGAGGCGCGCGCGCGCGCGCGCGAGCGAGCGAGAACGAACGAGCGCGCGCGCGAGCGAGAACGAACGAGCGAGCGCGCGCGAGCGAGCGCGCGAGCGAGCGAGAACGAACGAGCGCGCGCGCGCGCGAGAACGAACGAGCGCGCGCGCGCGAGAACGAACGAGCGCGCGCGCGCGCGCGAGCGAGCGAGAACGAACGAGCGCGCGCGCGCGAGAACGAAGAGCGCGCGCGCGCGCGCGCGCGCGCGCGAGCGAGCGAGAACGAAACGAGCGCGCGCGAGCGAGAACGAACGAGCGCGCGGCGGCGCGCGCGAGCGAGAACGAGCGAGCGCGCGCGCGAGCGAGAACGAACGAGCGCGCGCGCGCGCGCGCGCGCGCGCGCGCGAGCGAGCGAGAACGAACGAGCGCGCGCGCGAGCGCGCGAGCGAGCGAGAACGAACGAGCTCTCGCGTCGCGCGCGCTCGCGCGCGCGCTCGATAACGAACGAGCGCGCGCGCTCGCGCTCGCGCGAGCTCTATAAACGAACGATCTCTCTCGCGATCGAGAATAACTATTCTCCTCCTCTCTCTCTCCTCTTCTCTCTCTCTCTCTCTATCTATCTATAACTAACTATCTCTCTATCTATAAGGAACCGCAGTAAACAACAGGCGTTGCTATAGCAACACGTCATGTTTATGTTTACGCGGGAGATCAATAGCATGAAAATCACTGCATTTTCTATGAGCTAAATATTACCCGCTGGCGCTGATGGGTATAAATGGCCATTTTTTGGGCCTTTTTTTCAATCTGACTTCATATTGACAATTTGTAACAACAGAGGGTGCTACATAACACACTTTCAGGAAAAGTCACAGACTGGGAGACTTGAATATTTTGTTGAAAAAAAGTTACATACAATCAGGAAACAGCTGCGGGTAAAATTTACCCGTTGGCGGTTCTAGTGTTAATAAAATCTAAATATCAGTTTATCTTTATAGTAATTTGTGGATAGAGTCTTCGAAGGTGTGTGTTTGTGTATCAGTGAAAATGTGTTTTGTGGTTGGACAGAAGAAGCGGTTCCTCTGTCTGTTAGGATGGGTTCTTATTGTCTTTTGGCTCCTTATTAGGGTATAATGTATTCGCTCGCTAGCAAAGAGAAAAAGCACAGAAACAGGGCTGGAAACAGATAGCCCAACGAGATGTAGTCGACACATAGTTGAAATAGCTCGGATTCTTATTATTACGATTTTTATTTGTAGTCTTTGCACACACTTTTGGGGTCCTTAACATTCACGAAAACCCACCAAATGTTACACACACTTCCTTTACACACACTGTCTGGTGAACATCGCAATGTATTAGGGTTTTCTTTGCGGAAAAGATTCCGTAGGCCCCAGTGCGGTTTGTACGGGAGGCGTGTGGTGCAGTGGGTTGAGTATGTAAGTCGCTTTGGATAAAAGTGACAAGTGACATGTAATGAAATGTAATGTATGTCTAACTGAGAATCACAGGAAAGCCTCTTTGTGGTTTATAGAAAAACAGAAAGTGGTCAATTTTGCTGCTCATGTTGTCTCTCCTTCATTTTGTCCCAGGAGTTTCTGCTGGACTCCATCCTTCAGAGTGACTCCCCCCTGCTGCAGGAGGTGTGTGTGTGTGTGTGTCAGGAGGTGTGTGTGTGTGTCAGCAGGTGTGTGTCTCAGCAGGTGTGTGTGTGTCAGCAGATGTGTCTCTCAGCAGGTGTGTGTGTGTCAGCAGGTGTGTGTCTCAGCAGGTGTGTGTGTGTCAGCAGGTGTGTGTGTCTCAGCAGGTGTGTGTGTCAGGTGTATCTGGTGAGTTCATAGCATGTGTTTTAGTTTAATGTTGACGTTGTGCTCATATTGGCTGTAATGACGTGTTTTAAAATGTGTGAAAGTGCTATGAAGGTTATTCTAACGTGGCCTGGTTGGAGTAAAGTTAGAAATCAGCGTGTTTAGTGAGAGATAAAGTAACACTTTCTCATTGTGTGTGTCTCAGGAGGTGTGTGTGTCTCAGCAGGTGTGTGTGTATCAGGAGGTGTGTGTGAGTCAGGATTCGATGCAGCAGCTTCAGTTTGACCTCCAGCTGCTCAGCGAGGAGCTTCAGCACCACGACGTCCTGCTGAAAGCCCCCAGAAACCTGGTGAAACTGGCTTCTACTTTCTACCAGGCTCTACAGGAGGTGTCCCGCCTCTCCTCTGATTACTGCTTCCCCCTGCAGGGCTTCATCTCCGCACTACAGGAGGCTTTTATTGTGGAGGGGTGTGAGGTGGAGCTCAGTAACCGGCTGGTGGAGAAGCTGCTGCATCACTACAGACCGAGTCTCTACAGCGCACATCTTCCTGCTCTGGAGCTCCTCCTCTCCCTCGCTCTGCTCCAACACCACTCTGTAATTCACTTATTCACTTATTCAAGGCTTTTACTGTCATGTGTGCTGAGCTACAGTGTAGTTATGTCAATGAACATCTGAGGTCTCAGGCTCCTCCAACAGTGCAACACAATACAACAGATACAATAGTGCAAGTAAATACAGTGAAGTAGAATAGAAGTAGTGCCATAAGAGTCTATATACAAGTGATACATAATTAGTAAGTTGCAAACAGATGAATGTTATGAATGTTCTTAGCTCAGGTGTTTAACAGTCTTCTGGCCTGTGGGATGAAACTGTCTCTGAGTCTGGTGGTTTTAGACCTGATGCTGCGGTGCCTTTGTTGTGTAACAGAAGCTTCGAATGAAGAACCAAGCGGGTTTAGTCCAAACTGAACGTTTTTACTTTATATTAAAGGTCCCCTATTATACTGTTTCTCATCAATATATTATAGGTCTCAGATATATCCAGACCCTGTCTCTGATTGGCTGAAACACCAAACAGATCATTGCAGCATCCCATAATCCCCTCTGTTTCAGCCCTGTTTCCAAAGTGCTGATTCTCTGTCTGTTACTTTAGATGAAAATAAGGAGCCCCTCCCCACGCCCCTCTGAGAGAGATTTGGTTACAAAGAACTCAATGGTGCTCTAGGAGGAGATTCAGGTGATAAGGTGTGGGGGGGGGGGGGGGGTTACCTTGGTTGCTGATTGGCTAATGGTTACACAAGACAAAACATCGTTATGACATCATCAAGTGGCCAAAATCTGATGAGCTCATTTTCAGACAGGTTTTTATAGAAATGGATCAAAAAGAGAGAGAATCTTTGTTCCTGAAACTTTCAGAGTCTCTTTCCACAGAGGGGACACATGTTTGTTATGAATTCCAAAAACAATTCCCAAATGGTGTAAAATTCAGAAGCATAGTATAGTTAGTATATATGTGAGTTTAGTGCAGGTCATTGTTGAATGGGTTACATGGGGATTGTGCAGGCAAAATAATAAAAGTATATCTTATCTCCAGCAGCTCTGCTCTGATGCGGAGAAGGCGGTGTTCCTCCGGGGCCTCCAGGACGTTCCACTCCCTGTCACCAAAATAAAAGCGGGCTCCCTCCCTCCCATTTCCTCCCTCCTGCCGGGTTGGATCCCGCCTCCCATCCTCCCCCAGCTGCTCCTCCTGGAGAGAATCCTCCCCTTCAGAGGACTGATCTCCTCCCTCTGCTCCTCCCCCGCTCAGTGGGACGAGTACCTGCACAGGTGGGAAGAAACTACATTTACTCAAGTACTTAAGAACACTTTTCAAAGTCAACTTTATTGTCAGTCTTACAGTTTGTGTGAGACCAGAGCAAAAGTACACACATCCTTTTCTCAAGTAGAAGAACAGATACTCGTGTTTAAAAATACTCTGGTGAAAGTAGAAGTACTGACTAAACTTCTTTACTCAAGTAAAAGTAAAGAGGGCTTTGAAATGTACTTCAGTAAAAAGTACCCATAACTAGCAGCTGTTTTAAAGAGTACCTGACCTCCCTTTATATTAATAGAACAATAATGTCATTGTTAGCTAATGAATGTTTCCATGCTGAACAACGGCAACATGACAACGTTTTCATTGGTCCCTCTTCTTTAGAGAAGACCAGGAAATGATGGATACACGGATCGTGTTCAAATCAATAGGCACGCAATGACTCTAAATAATAATGATCACGCCACCAAACACACATTCAAACTAAAGGAACCAGCCTGTTTGGAAAATGTGAGAAGTAGAAAGTACAGGTATTTGGGTTCAACATGTAAGAAGTAGAAAGTACAGGTATTTGTGTTCAACATGTAAGAAGTAGAGAGTACAGGTATTTGTGTTCAACATGTAAGAAGTAGAAAGTACAGGTATTTGGGTTCAACATGTAAGAAGTAGAAAGTACAGGTATTTGTGTTCAACATGTAAGAAGTAGAAAGTACAGGTATTTGAGTTCAACATGTAAGAAGTAGAAAGTACAGGTATTTGTGTTCAACATGTAAGAAGTAGAAAGTACAGGTATTTGTGTTCAACATGTAAGAAGTAGAAAGTACAGGTATTTGGGTTCAACATGTAAGAAGTAGAAAGTAAAAAGTCCTCAGAAAAAATAAGTAGTGGAGTAAAGTACTGATACCAGAAACATGTACTTAAGTACAATAGCAAAGTATTTGTACTCCACTACTTCCCACCTCTGGAAGAAACTAAGTATATTAACTGGATGTTTCCCCTCGTTTCTGTTGTGTGATTGTGATGTGCTATATGTGACATGTATGTAGTAACGTGTGTTGTTTGCATTTTATTGTTCTCTTATATCCTTTCGCCTCTATCTACTTGTCTTTCATCCTTTCTTTATAACTAATGCTGTTGATGTGTTGTGATTTTAAAAAGGTGTCTATTATCATCTGGCCGAGGACAACAGCTGGAAATTAGCCATGTTTGCTAAAGCTGTCCCATTTACTGTTTTTTGTGACAGTTGATTAATGGGGACTGTCCACGACACTATAAACAAATACACTAAACTAAACTCAAGTACTTAAGAACACTTTTTCAAAATCAAAGTCAACTTTATTGTCAATCTTTGAGTTTGTGTGTAGTCGATGTTCAGAAAGAGGTCCTGATTGGAGAGTGTTAGTGAATTTGGGCCGATGATGATGATTATTTTAGATTTGTCACAGTTCAGTTTCAGAGAGTTGTTTTGCATCCATTGTTAGATGTCAGTGAGGCAGGTTGTGAGTGTGTGGTGGTGGAAGTAGTTTTGTAATAGTAACAATCGAACTAGACGGAGGATTTGTCCAAGTAACAGGATGTAGATGATAAAGAGCAGGGGACCAAGTACAGAGCCCTGGGGGACGCCACGGGCGACTGAAGCAGTGGGGATTTGTACAGTAGTTGTTGATGGAAATGAATTATCTATATATTACAAAGTCGTTTTGCTGATAATACTTTTGTACTTTTACTTTAGTAAAGGCCCGGACACACTAAGCCGATTTTGGCCGTCGATGGGCGTCGACACGCCCTACTCAGATTGGTGTGTCCCGCATCGTCGTGTCTTTTCAGCCGTGCCGACACCTTTTCGGCCAAAAACCCACCTATTCAACATGTCGAATCGGTGGGCAGTCGGCCAAAGGCTGTCGGCAAAAGAAATCACTCTGATTGGCTGTTCAGCTTAGCGAATCAGAGCATGAGAAGCGAAACGGAAGTGAGGGACCCAAACAAACTATTAAGAAAGCAAATCTGAGATTTCATTTAACTCCAGCTCTCGACACAGGTTGGGGAAAGCCCCGTGAGCTTCTCGCTGTAGAGTGAAAATGGAACGCACACGCTATTTGTTGTTTATATCACGCAGTCTGTTCTTCTTCTCTCGGTTATCACGCAGTCTGTCTTCCGGTTGCCTCTTTTGAATGACGAATACACACTACCGCCGCCTGCTGGTAAGGAGAGTTATTGCCACTCACGCATGCGCAGTTCGTACGTGCTCGGTTGAAGTCTTTGCGGTGTGTTCCAGTGCGACACATGGCCAAAACGCAGAGACGCGAGGCGACGCAACAGTCGGGGGTCCGTCTGTGTCAGTTCTTTGGTGTCAGCTTGGTGTGTCCGGGCCTTAAGACTTTGAATGCAGGACTTTTACTTGTAATGAAGTATTTTGACCTGAATGTATTGGTACTTTTAAGATAAGATAAGTTAAGATGGAACTTTATTTATCCCCTGGGGGAAATTCGGGCTTTTATAGCACCAACAGGGTCAGAGTGAAAAACAGGATTCAAACAAGGTAAAATGAAGATAAAATAGAATAAAAATTAAAATAATAATACAACAAAAATAAAGTGATAAAGTAACTATTGAAAGAATATATCACAGTAAAAGTTGAGCATTTGTATGAACATGTTAAATATATTTACATAAGTGTGCAGATGTGAGTGCAGGTTAAAGTCTTGTAAAAACAGCGCATGTTTTATGTTTGAACAGTCCTGGATAATATTAACGGGTAACAGGGTTTAGCCCCTGATCGAGCAGCCTGATGGCTACAGGCACAAAGGACTGTCCGAGGCGTTGCATATATTTAGCTTTCCATCTCTAAATGACAAACACTGGTTATGCATTGTCGAAACGCATTAGAAAGATTTTTGATCAGAAAAGTACATATACAGTGACGACTGGTACTTGGAGAGGTCCCAGTCCACCTCCTGGGCCCTGCCGTGGTGCCCTTGAGCAAGGCACCTAACACCCCCCCCCCCCACCACACCCCATTGCTCCACTGCTCCTACTAGGATGGGTTAAAAGCAGAGGTCAAATTTCATTTCGTGTGCTCTGAATGTGTGTGACCATTAGGGCTGTACCCGAACATCCGAATATTCGGTCGTTGGCCTACTATTCGGTTTTCTATTTCGTTATTCGGATATTCTTTTTTTTTCTTCCTAAATGTATGCCATCAATAAAGGTGAATTGCCACATTCTTATTCTATATTTATACTTTTAATTGCACTGTTAAAATACGGAAATATATACAATCTCAGCTTGGGCGCCTGACATCGCTTTCACTCACAGCGCCACGAACGCGAACGTCACGCTTCACTTTGCTTCACACACCTGAAAACAAAATACCGAAGACTTCAGCTGTGTGGGACCATTTTAAATTGGACGACGAAGGCAGTGTGCCAAATATGCAATATGAAACTGGCCCACCACGGTGGCACAACAACTCTGAAAGGTCACCTGAATGCTGTAGGTAGTAGCTTAGCTTAGCTGTTGTCCAGTTGCCATGATGAAGCTGCTTTATCCGCTGTTTAAACAATAACGTTACACATGATATACATCGATTATTCGCTGCGGATTACTATACCCCCGTGCGCGCGGAATATTCGCTGCTGATTACTACCGAATATCCGGAGCCCGAAAAATGGTATTCAGGACAGCCCTAGTCACCATTGAAGAGGGTTTTATCCTCCAATTCTATCTATCTAATACTTATACTCATACACATCTACTGTATACATACACACAGACAATATATACTTTTACTGAATCATCTGAATCGTTCTTCCAGCAGTGATCACCCCCCGTCTGTATCGGGTCCCGTTCCCTGCCGCTCTCACTCCCACCTGTCACTGATACAGAGGGGGATCCTCCTGAAGACCCTCCTCCCTCACAGTCTGCAGGGATTGAACCAGGACATGGCCGTGTACCACCGCCCCCTGCTGGGAGGGAGGGAGACCCTGTACATCGGGAACCCCAAAGCCCTCTATCAGTTCCTGAGAAAACATGAGGGGCCTGTCATCCTCACATCACCCAATCAGAGAGGAGAGGAGAGGACGAGCATTCACCCTCTGAAATTAATTCACAGTCTGGCCCACTGTGGAGAAGACACTCAGGTAATGTTGTGTTCTTTGTTTTGAAGACCAAGAGTTAGTCTAAAGAAGACCAGGAAGCTTCTCGAAAAGTGAACTGCGTTTATTTATACAATGATATTTTTACAAGGGAACACAGCTGTGGTTCTGACACTCAGTCCACCGGTCCACAGTCCACTTACCGCAGTTAGCTGTCTACGGTAGAATGAATGAAAGGGAGCGTCTCTCTCTAACATCTGGTTATATAGTATTGTAGTCTTCATTCATTGGCTGGCGTCGACGTGGGCGGGTCTTCTTCTGTAGTCCTCTGATGACGTAGCCATAGCACATCCCTTTTATCATACAATTCTTCTAATGTTTATTGGTCATAAACAAATAATAATAGTGGTAATGCAGCGTCAATGAGTGAGAGTTGGAGACGGTGTGTTTAGTGTGTAACTCCACGCGTCATTCTCCTTATATTCACATACACGATATATTATTAGCTACATGCTACTGTGAGGCTACAAACAACAACAATCGTAAAACCGGAAGTCCAAGGTGTCGCCAACATCCGGTCCGTGGAAAACTCTACGACAGTGAATCATGTCCCTTAAAGGTCACCTATCATGCTATTTCTAGGCAATAGCATAGGTCTCAGATATATAAAAATATATAAAAAGCATATCTATGAAGTGTTTTGCTCAAAATACCAAACAGATCACCCATTCTAGCCATGCCTCATATCCCTCTCTTTCACTTCCTGTTTCTAAATTGATGATTTTTGGTATAAAGCTTTAAAAAGAAAAAAAGATTGATAAAACAAAAAAGGAGGTGTCTGAGCTCATGCGGGACCCGGCAGCTACTGTCTAAACTAAATACTGCGGTGATGAAACGCCATATCATGGATTATCAAGGATTCTTTCTGAAACAGTATGGAGCTCAAAGGCTTTCTCTCTTGCCGGTTATACCACAAGGTGAGTTCCTTTTTATTTCCTGCTTCTTCACACACATGCTCTCCAGTACAGGTTAGCTCTGAGTGTTAGCGATGCTAATGTAAACACCGACCATATTACGTCTAAAACAGTCGGGCATTGTTTCTGATAGCAACGTTTCTGATAGGGCCGTGGGTCCACATTTCAGATATTACGTCATATCGGACGCAAATCTGGATCAGCTCCGTTGTTCCCCCGTTTTTAGAGATTTGGGTACGGAGGAAAAGAGAGAGGGTTTTATTTTCTGACGCTGCGTGAGTTCCCTGACACACCGGGGACACACCGGGGACACACCGGGGACACACCGGGGACACACCGGGGACACATGGTGATGTATAAAAGACATCAAAAAGTGCATTTTGCATGATAGGTCCCCTTTAAAGTTTCCGGCACAATATATAGATTATTTCTCACAGTAACACACAGTTAAACTTTATCTTTGTTGATTTATTACATTTTATGGAATACAAACGGGAAAGAAAAAGCAATTAGGTCAATGAGTTTTTCCATGTTATATATAATTATTTTACGATTCCGATCCATTCCCCTGTAGTTGTGGGTTTTATTGTTAGACACCTTCTCGTTATGGCTTATGGCTGCCAACATTATATTAATCAAATATTTATCGCAATAAAGAATTGTAGATGTTCCAAAGATACAGTGCATCCGGAAAGTATTCATACCCCTTCACTTTTTCCACATTTTGTTATGTTACAGCCATATTTCAAAATGGATTAAATGTATTTGTTTTCTCAACATTCTAGACACAATACCCCATAATGACAAAGTGAAAAAAAGTTTTTAAATAATTTTTGCAAATGAATAAAAAAAAGAAACTAAAATATCACATAAACATACGTATTGAATACTTTCCGGATGCCCGGTATATTGTACAGAAATCATGTTTAATCTCAAAACCCAATAAGGTACCACACAGTTTGTTCAGTTTTGAAGTTACAGTGGGAAACGCTTATAGTGATAATATCTGTCTTAGTCTAATGTTTTAGGGTGTGAGATCCTACTGTGAAACACACACTATACAGGAACACACACTTTCTCCCCAAGCCTGTTGATCACTATAAACTGTTGTAATAGATGTAAGTCCTGTTGACCAGGTGATGTTTTCCTTAATAAATAATAAATAATAATAATAAAGCTTTATTTATACAGCACTTTTCATACAACACATGCAGCTCAAAGTGCTTTAAAAGGTACATGCAGCAAAATATAACATGTTATCAGGTTAATCGACGCAAGGAGGTAAAAGGTGTGATAATAAAATAAAATAAATAATGATTTCTCTCTGACAGATAAGACACAAGACGACTGAGTCGATGCAACAATATAAAAGGTAAAACCCCATCAAATGTGTTTCAGGTTCAGGTGAGAGTCGTTTCCTTTGGAGCTGACAGAGAGGTGATTCTCTCACATCTGAACACAGCTGCTACTGACGGACACTGGCTGGTGTTTAATAACTGTCAGCTGCTGGAGACATGGGACACTCAAGTCACCGCTCACATCCACCAGCTGATCTCCTCTTTAAGGGGTAGGGAATCCACCAAACATTTAAATCGCTCTATTATCAGTTGCTATTCATTAGAAAAGCTTATAATAACCTGTGTTTCCTTTTATAAATCCCACAGAGGAGCGACGCCTGATTCACCCGAGCTTCAGACTGTGGTTTATAACTCAGGAAAATACATCTACCTCCATACCAGGTGCATTTAATATACTGCCATTACTGATCTCACAAAGAGAGGAAACTCACTTTGATATTTTGGGTTATTTTGCTTCCATAACATGTCTTCTTTCAGACTAGTGGGAAAAACCTCCAGGAGTTTATTTCACTAACTCTCTCTGCTAAACTCACCAACAGTTAGCATTACATAACTCCCCACTTGTGTATTTAAACATAACCTGTGAGGAAACTTGTAATATAAAAGATAATTGTGTTAATGTCAGTAATGAAGTAGGGGAAGTTTCATGGTGATATCTGTCAGTTTTTACCCTGTTCACCTGCAGTGTACAACATGAATTCATTTACAATCCAGATCTTTATACTGTATATATATTATCTTTATTTCGCCCTTTTCTCAAATATTAACCCAACGTTTTTCCTTTACATATTTAAACTTTTTGACATTGTGAAAAATTACAAGTGTTTTTCTCCAGATATTTTACATTACTCGTCTTTCTAAATTATTTTGCCTTTTTAAAAAAAAGATTACAATATCTCATCTCTGAAATAATCCACCTCCGTTGTTCCTCCAAATATTACGCATTTTTCTTTAAAACGATTCAGTTATAATGACCTGTTTTTTTTTATATTTAAAAATGTTTTTATTTTAAAATTACGACTTTTTTGTCAGATTATAAAGATTTTTTTGTCAGATTATAAAGATTTTTTTGTCAGATTATAACGATTTTTTGTCAGATTATAATGATTTTTTTGTCCGATTATTTAAAAAAATGGTCCGATTATTACACATTTTGTCCAATATAGGCTTTTTGTCAGATTATTACGACCTTTTGTCCGATTATAACGATTTTCTGTCCGATTATAACGATTTTTTGTCAGATTATAAATACTTTTTGTCAGATTATTTCACATTTTGTCCGATTATAACGACTTTGTCAGATTATAACGACCTTTTGTCCGATTATAACAATTTTCTGTCAGAATATATAGATTTTTTTTGTGTGTCAGATTACACATTTTGTCAGGTTATAACGACTTTTGTTTGATTGTAATGACTTTTTGTCAGATTACACATTTTGTCAGATTATAACGATTTTTTCTTCGCCAAATGTATTTCTCCTCTCTCAGCTTCTTAAACATAACATTTCAGAAAACTTGTAACATACAAAATGATTATGTTAATTTCAGTAATGACAGTGACATTTCTTTACCCCATTAATTTAACTTCTGTCTTTAATTCCTCCCAGCGTCCGTGCGAGTGTGCGCTCTTCCTCTGGTGGTTTCCTCCTGCCTGGATCTGAAGGAGCAGCTGATCCTCTCCTTCCAGCAGCTTCACTCCTTCACACAGCGTCCATCTTTATCTGGAGTCTCTTCAGAGGACATGGAGCTGTTAATGAACACTGCCGTCTTCCACTCTGTGATCCTGCAGAGACACAAACACAGAGGAGGGAGACACAGCTGGTGAGGAGAGGGCAACATGTAATACACAGGAACTAATTGAAGAATATTAGCAGAGGTGGGAAGTATTGGAGTACAAATACTTCGTTACTGTACTTAAGTACATGTTTCTGGTATCAGTACTTTACTCCACTACTTATTTTTCTGACGACTTTTTACTTTGACTTCTTACATTTTTAACCCAAATACCTGTACTTTCTACTTCTTACATGTTGAACACAAATACCTGTACTTTCTACTTCTTACATGTTGAACACAAATACCTGTACTTTCTACTTCTTACATGTTGAACACAAATACCTGTACTTTCTACTTCTTACATGTTGAACACAAATACCTGTACTTTCTACTTCTTACATGTTGAACCCAAATACCTGTACTTTCTACTTCTTACATTTGAACACAAATACCTGTACTTTCTACTTCTTACATGTTGAACCCAAATACCTGTACTTTCTACTTCTTACATTTGAACACAAATACCTGTACTTTCTACTTCTTACATGTTGAACACAAATACCTGTACTTTCTACTTCTTACATGTTGAACACAAATACCTGTACTTTCTACTTCTTACATTTTGAACACAAATACCTGTACTTTCTACTTCCTACATGTTGAACACAAATACCTGTACTTTCTACTTCTTACATGTTGAACACAAATACCTGTACTTTCTACTTCTTACATGTTGAACACAAATACCTGTACTTTCTACTTCTTACATGTTGAACACAAATACCTGTACTTTCTACTTCTTACATGTTGAACACAAATACCTGTACTTTCTACTTCCTACATGTTGAACACAAATACCTGTACTTTCTACTTCTTACATGTTGAACACAAATACCTGTACTTTCTACTTCTTACATTTGAACACAAATACCTGTACTTTCTACTTCTTACATTTGAACACAAATACCTGTACTTTCTACTTCTTACATGTTGAACCCAAATACCTGTACTTTCTACTTCTTACATTTTGAACACAAATACCTGTACTTTCTACTTCTTACATTTGAACACAAATACCTGTACTTTCTACTTCTTACATTTGAACACAAATACCTGTACTTTCTACTTCTTACATGTTGAACCCAAATACCTGTACTTTCTACTTCTTACATTTTGAACACAAATACCTGTACTTTCTACTTCTTACATTTGAACACAAATACCTGTACTTTCTACTTCTTACATTTGAACACAAATACATGTACTTTCTACTTCTTACATGTTGAACACAAATACCTGTACTTTCTACTTCTTACATGTTGAACACAAACACCTGTACTTTCTACTTCTTACATTTTTAACACAAATACCTGTACTTTCTACTTCTTACATGTTGAACACAAATACCTGTACTTTCTACTTCTTACATTTTGAACACAAACACCTGTACTTTCTACTTCTTACATGTTGAACACAAATACCTGTACTTTCTACTTCTCACATTTTGAACACAAACACCTGTACTTTCTACTTCTTACATGTTGAACACAAATACCTGTACTTTCTACTTCTTACATTTTGAACACAAACACCTGTACTTTCTACTTCTTACATTTTGAACACAAATACCTGTACTTTCTACTTCTTACATGTTGAACCCAAATACCTGTACTTTCTACTTCTTACATGTTGAACACAAATACCTGTACTTTCTACTTCTTACATGTTGAACCCAAATACCTGTACTTTCTACTTCTTACATGTTGAACACAAATACCTGTACTTTCTACTTCTTACATGTTGAACACAAATACCTGTACTTTCTACTTCTTACATGTTGAACCCAAATACCTGTACTTTCTACTTCTTACATGTTGAACACAAATACCTGTACTTTCTACTTCTTACATGTTGAACACAAATACCTGTACTTTCTACTTCTCACATGTTGAACACAAATACCTGTACTTTCTACTTCTTACATGTTGAACACAAATACCTGTACTTTCTACTTCTTACATGTTGAACCCAAATACCTGTACTTTCTACTTCTTACATGTTGAACACAAATACCTGTACTTTCTACTTCTTACATGTTGAACACAAATACCTGTACTTTCTACTTCTTACATGTTGAACACAAATACCTGTACTTTCTACTTCTCACATTTTCCAAACAGGCTGGTTCCTTTAGTTTGAATGTGTGTTTGGTGGCGTGATCATTATTATTTAGAGTCATTGCGTGCCTATTGATTTGAACACGATCCGTGTATCCATCATTTCCTGGTCTTCTCTAAAGAAGAGGGACCAATGAAAACGTTGTCATGTTGCCGTTGTTCAGCATGGAAACATTCATTAGCTAACAATGACATTATTGTTCTATTAATATAAAGGGAGGTCAGGTACTCTTTAAAACAGCTGCTAGTTATGGGTACTTTTTACTGAAGTACATTTCAAAGCCCTCTTTACTTTTACTTGAGTAAAGAAGTTTAGTCAGTACTTCTACTTTTACCAGAGTATTTTTAAACACGAGTATCTGTACTTCTACTTGAGTAAAGGATGTGTACTTCTACTTGAGTAAAGGATGTGTGTACTTTTGCCATCTCTGGATATTAGAGTATCTGCGGGTTGTTTACATTTACAGTGAACCCACACATTACCTGCACCGGTTGCATCATAATAATAATAATAATGGGATTTGTATAGCGCTTCTCGTAATCGCTCAAAGACGCTTTACATAAAATCAGAACAGAAACATAAACAATAGTCCTAATCCAAGTGAGAGTAAAATGGGGGGGGGGGGGGTTGTTGATCAGAGTTTGAAAGCTGGAGTGAAAGTGAGTAATAACCTCCTTAACGATGGTATCTAAGGTTTAGTTTCTTATTAGCTAAGTTAAGTTACTGAAAGACAAAAACTGTAAACTCTCCACAGTGTCCATGGAGACTTAGACATTGTAAACGGTAAAAGAAAAGAAAATTGGTCAATGCACTTAAAACTGAATTGAATGATGATGTTTTGTTTCGAGGTGTCTGCACGTCCGTCTGTCCCCAACATTGAAAGTCAGTTTATCTTTAGTTGCTTCAATGATATCAAGTATATGTTCACATCGTTTTGTTACTCTAATAATAATAATCTAAATTGAGTATACGTGCACCAGAAACAGCCTCCTTACATTAATCATACAACCCCAAAGCTTTATTTGTATATGATGAGGGTCCTGTCTATAAGAGAAGTTCTCAACCTGTGCTTTCCTTACTTTCGTTGGTGTCTTTTGAACAACAGTTTGACTGACTTTAAGGGATAGATTAAGGGTCACAGGAGGACAAACCTTATATAAATAAACAATACTAGAATTTAAACATCTTAAAATAGGATTAAAGCAGCATTAAAAAGTAGAACATATACAGTAAAAGAGTAATACAGATAGCAAATCTATAACTCTGACAATAAAACAGTGTTTGAAAGGCTTTAGACACAAGATAAGGCAGGATATGTTTTACATTAAGAGTGTAGGGAATGGAATATTGAATAAAAAATAAATGTATAATGTACGGTGTGTCCAGTTCTGGAAAGAGAAGCTTTGGAGCAGAGAGTTCTCTTCCAGCCAGGGGAGTTATATTTGTGACTAAATGTGGATGTATGAAGACTTCCTGTGTGTCTCTGTCCCTCAGGACTCAGGAGGACTTCCTCTCTCTGGTGGAAGCTCTGCTCTCTGTTGCCACTCTCTGCCAGGATAAGGCTAAAGCTCTGCAGTGTATCGCAGGTGAGGAAGAATCCTCAACAGATAACCTGTCCCTCCTCTTTGTCAGGGAATCATTTGCCCTGCATGTCCTCCTTGCACCTTCTGACGCAGATGCCCAGCCTTGGACAGCCGCTATCTCCCTTAACCTGTTAAGCCCTAAAGCCCCCGTCGGCGGGTCTTTTTTTTTTTCACAATTTCTTTTTACATTTTTTTTTATTTTTATTTTTTTATTTGGATGGAATGAATACCTATGGTGATAATTCAATGTAATCATTTTTATAGTCTGGTACCTGAAAAAGGTCAAATGGCACTGATGGAACCAGATGTACCCAAATGTGCCGAAAGCTTATTCCGCCTGGAACTTGTTTTTGCTAAACCTCTCTAAAAAGGTCAAATTTAACTTGTTTTGCCTCAATCTTGATACAGGGTACTTATTATATGTTATAGTTTGGATTCCTAAAGCTTTTAGTCTACCATCCCATCATTCAAGGGTGGTTTTCACTATAAGTAATGTTTTTTCTTTAGGCGGAGGTAAGAATTTACCTTTTTTTGCTATGTTCCATCTGAATTTACTCTGACTGAGAAAAATCTATATTGATTCTGACTCTTCTACATCCAACTCACAGATGTAACCTTGCTTTGATAAAAGAAATTATTCATATAACCCTTTTAGAAGTGAAGTTGTAGTCATTGGTTTTGGGCATGTCATTTTCGAGCCTGAAACCTGAAAAACAGGCTCGGGGCTTAACAGGTTAAGGAGGGGCTGCCCTAGCTTTGATTGATTGATTGATTGAAAAGTGTATTAACAGCTTGTATATTGGGTACAGTACAGTACAGCTCAAAACATACAATTGTTAAGGGGATGCAGACCAGAGAAAGACTTTCGTCTTGTTTACATCAGGGTCCCCCATTTCCAATTCATCATTTCTGTTGTTGTTACCAGTTTATGACCGGGCAACTCTCGGTCAGAGATAGTTATTGTTAGAAAAACATCACTCGTCACCGGCTTGATCTTCAATATCAGGATCCATGTCTTTATTATCCTTGCAAGAATGGACCTAGTCATCACATACAGAGGTTGCATGGGACAAAAGAGTTCCTTTTTAGAGTCCTTCATATGCTGATATACAAGAGAGGGTGTTACAGTCAACAAGATGGAGGAATACTGGTTCAAAGCAGTATTCTGACATTAGTTCAGATTAGCTAAGGCCTGCGTAAGCAATAAACATGACAGTCATATGTCTATCTCTCAAGGGACTGTGTCATCATGCCAATCTTAGGAACATAGCTATCATAACTTCAACACAGTGTCTCACTGTGTCCATGTAGTCATACATCCGGCTACGTACACAGCTACGTAGGGCCTCTGTTGTCATGTGCTACTCTGATATAGAAGGAACATTCAGTATTTTCCCCACAGTTATTGTTGTGGGACACCTGGAACACTTCCTTCTCGGGGTGTAGCTGACCCCGAGGTGCAAGATCCTCTAGCCATAAGCGACAACTACAAGTGATTCAGTGTCCTCAGCTGTTTAGTCTCTCTATTGAAGAACGTTGATTCCCCTCAGCAAACTAGTTAGAACCTCCTACCAGAGGAAGAGTTCTTCAGAATTGATTTGGCATCTCAACCCAACACAGTCTCACAAAAAACGTGTAATAGCTACGTCGGTCCACAGGGCAAAACGTAGTATATTCACAAATAACCCTCTCAAGACGTGACATGGATACAATATTTTGTAAACAAATACATGGAGCTCAAATAATCTTGGTAATATCTATCAAACTATGGATCCTACACATCCACTGGACGTAGATTCTGAAAGTACAATATACACTTCTCGCTAGAAATGTAATCAAAAAGCATTTTAACGCCAAACTCTCCTACAATTTAGGATTTTCAACTAAAAATAAATCGGGTGTCCGCCATGTTTTTTTTTCTCTCTGGGAAAGTTTGCGATCACGTGACACGGACACTGGTCATTAGAAATGAATAGGAACAAATATTGTATCCATGTCACGTCTTGAGAGGGTTATTTGTGAACATACTTCGTTTTGCCCAGTGGACCAACGTAGCTATTACACGTTGTTTTGTGAGACTGGCCTCCTCAACCGTGTGGTCAACTCGTGCCCCGTGACATGTCTTCTCCGGCCGAAGCTCCAAATTAACCGTCAGTGTTTGCCATCAAAGCTCCAGCTCTCCTCGTGTCTCTCTGAGTTTCCAATTGCTTCAGAACTTTCCCCCACACTCTTCATCAGTGCTTCAACCTGGTTCTGCTTTTCATCTACAGTACACCTGGTGCATGGCGCTCATGTTCTGGACTCTTCAGATCGAGAGGAGGTGGACAGCATCGCTAAGATCTTCCTCAGCGGAGAGCCTCACTTCCTCTCAGATATCATCAAAAACACCCGACATTTTGGTAACAAACGTCTGATTTCACTTCGTATTCTGTACATCTTACACGCTAATCAATGAGACTGAAATGGATCAGGCCAAAATGCAGTCTTTATGGAGTTACATGTTACAGTTATGATAACACCCTGAAGTAGAATTCATTTCCTGATAAATCGACTAAAAGTCTGTTTTCTGCTATAGAAATAAACTTAGAAAACTAATGGAATATCATCACTGCTTCTACAGCTGAACTAAAAGTAAATTAAGTTTAGTATCAACTTGAATACATTGTACTTTATTCCATATGTTTTAACCTTAGGTGCATTTTTAAATAACTGTAAAGTCATAATTAAACGTCACAGATTACCCGTCATGCCTGAGAAGTACCCGTATGTGCGCTCATAGCGCATGCGCAACTTTAACCACGCCCCCCAAAATGCTCGTTCACATCAAGCACGTCAATTTGTACACGTAACAGCACCGCACGTTCATGACAGCATGGTACTGGATTGTTATATGATGGATTTTGATATTAACGAGGCGGCCGCGGCAGTTAGCAGCTAGCGGCTAGCTAGTAATTATGCTAATTTACACATCAATCGTTATGTACTTTTATATTACGCTGTAACAGGATCTAGTGATATCCAAGCAACAGAGCTTCATTTAGCATGAAACTTGTGTGGGTTGTACATGAAACCACTTGGTAATATTTAAAAAAATATATATATATGTATGTATATATCAGGGTTGCCAACTTTGGGTACCTGGCTGGAGTGAGATTTTGATATCATGGGTTTAATTCAGTTTAATTACACATATGCGCACTAAATGACTGCTATCGTGTCAGCAGCGGGACCTTAGCATATATATAGGATATATATACAATATATACAAATACACAATAATGGACACAGACTATAAAGGGCACACAGTTTCATTCACTAATGAAAGTCAAACATGTTTGTTTCCACTGTTTTATTGTGTGCCTGTCGCGATAAACAATTAATTGACTTATCGTACGATAAATAAAAATGAACTCGATAACTTTTCTGACCTCGATAAATTGCCATTTACATGAGGATGTGACTAGCAGTTTGAAAGGATGTACTTGAGGTATTATTATATATTATCATTATGTCAGTGGTCTAAAATGGTCATACAACGGTGCCGACAATATTATCGTTTATCGCAATAATTTCCGGGAAAATGTATCCAACAAAATTAATTATCGTGAGAGGCCTATACATGAAACACACACACACAAACAAATCTACAGACTTACTCCAAACTGCCAAATATATTAATTAACACACTCTCACTCTCATATACTCTTTGACTCTACTTTGGCCTAGTAGAACAATAAGCAGCAGACTTTTACTTTTGATCATTTCTACTGGATCTTAGATCTGCGCATGCGCCATACGGGTCGGCAGTTGCGGCTCCAGAGTATTTTTGTTGGGTAATCTATGGTAGGGCTAACCCATACAGTGGTGGGGCTCAAGTCAGTATTTGTAATGTAATTACATACACGCTCCCCCCGACAGTGAAACGCCACGCGTGAGGTTTAGATTATTTCCCTCTCTCAATCCAAATTGAACTGTATGAAATAAAAAGGCACATTTGTCTTGTAGGAAATAAAAAGGGCGACCTGGAGCCAATCCTGCAATTTCCCCTCAGGTGAAAGAGTTGACATGCTGAAGACCCAACCCCTGCAGGGGGGTCTGGGGGGATTCTCCCCCAGGAGATTTTTTTAAATACTAACATAAAATACACATTCTGGTACTCTCTTGAGAAGAAAAATAAATAAATCTATTACTACACGACATATTTAAAAAAATTAATGCCATTTTTGTTTTGTGTGACTTTGTTCTGAAAGCTGAACCTGCTGCTCCTCACAGAGAGAAGAGGGAAGAGGCTGTGAATTACTTTACATTGTGGATAAGGGTGGATAGCCCCCATTGTTCTGTGTGTCAAGATGAAAGACAGCCCACACACCTATCAATCATCAAACCGTGGGGTCTTATTTCATTACGTGTTGATTTCTATCAACACGTAATGTTGTATCGATGTATAGAGATGTACTACCGCAAAAGTATTCTCCGTCGGGACTTCCTGCAACAACACCACGCCGTTATCGTGATTCTGATTGGCCAGAAGACATTATCAAAGATGTTCTATTGAGAAGACGATCACTACGTGACAAAAGTTTTCAAAACCGTTTCTAGTCTTCGGTATTCTTGTTTTTGGCGTGAGAAAAGTTTGGGCAGCGTGAGAGCGTGAGATTGAGAGTGAAAGCGTGTGTCACACGCCAGATGCGTGAGAGTTGGCAACCCTGATATATATATATATATATATATATATATATATATATATATTAGGGCTGTCAAGTTAATAGCGCGTTAACGCAAAAAAAAATTAACGCCACTAATTATTTTAACGCGATTAACGCATGTGTATTTTTTGTCTTCGGCCGCCCCGTAGTTTCAGAGCGCATCGAGTTTAAAATACCATCTACAAGCTGATGCTGACAGCCCCGCTCCTGCTGCCCGCTTGTGGCAGACCACACTTCCACGCTCACCGGCAGGCCCGGACTGGCCATCGGGAGGACCGGGAGGGTGTGTGTATGTGTGGCGCGAGCGAGGCACACCTTACGTGTTGTTGTTGTTGTTAGCATCTGGTGCTAGCTAGCTGCGCTAACGGATATAAGGAGCTGTTTCAATGAAAACAGAGGAGCGACAATTCGCCGACAACTGCGCCGAGCACTTGACTTGATGCAGGTAGCCAGACAGTGGGACATTGTACGAAAAGTCAGCACACTCAGCACGGATAGTGCGCGCAACATGATTGCAGCGTCCAGGCAGCTCCCGTTCGAGCATATATGCCTTGAGCTGCACATAGCTCCAACGATCCATCACAGTGTCTCCACACACACACACACACACACACACACACACACACACACACACACACACACACACACACACACACACACACACACACACACACACACACACACAGTATTATTGTATGAGAGAGGTTCCAGGTTGAATTGAGGCGAATATTTGTAATGTTCAGGTTGTTGTGTTTAATATTCATGAGAATATTTGTCATTGTTCAAATGATAATAAACAAACATATAAAGCATATGTGTCCACTCATATGTTGATAAGAGTATTAAAAACTTGAAAAATATCCCTCTAAGGTACATTTAGAACAGATACAAAATTAATTTGCGATTAATCGCGATTAACTATTTTAATCGACTGATAGCCCTAATATATATATATATATAAAATATTTGTTTCTCCGAATCGAAGGGGAAAAATACAAAAGCATTGCACACAATTTAAACCAATCAATGTTGTGTAATTAACAAGATAATCTGGTGTTTTTGAGTTGATGAGTAGTGCAGATATCTCTGTCAAATCAATCGACAGTAAGAAGAATACTTACTTCCGGGTGTAAAATCCTCCGTTATCCAATGGGAATGGACGCTCACATTGCCTTTAACAGCCTCCGACACAAACGAATGCCGTGCTTCCATGAGCGTCAAATACCGCCGCCGATGGGAATACATTGCAATCAGTTGAAAGCTCTTTGCGTCCCTTTATGAAGCTGAAGGAGACTCGGAGCGTCCCAACTGCACGCCACGGGACCCTGACCAAGCGTCGCTCCTGGACGTTTATGGAGTGAGAGTGTGTTGGCCAGGTCCCCGCATGAGTCAGCATAAGCTCCTCCTCTTATATTCATTTTTTTCAGTTAAAAAATAAATAAAACTTTTATTTTTTTTTTACTTAGCCTTTATTTATACAGGTGAACATCTCATTGAGACATAGGGTCTCATTCTCAAGAGAGACCTGTTTATACCCAGAATCAGCACTTTTGAAACAGGAAGTGAAATAGAGGGATATTTGTTTTTACCAAAACACTTCATAGACATGTTTTTTATATATCGTTTTTTTATATATTACATTACATTACATTACATTGCATTTAGCTGACGCTTTTCTCCAAAGCGACTTACAATAAGTGCATTCGACCAAGAAGATACAAACTTGAAGAAAACAGAATCATATAAGTACATCAGGTTTCATAGAGCCAAAACATTTCAAGTGCTACTCAACTGGCTTTAGATAAGTGCTTAGTTAGTATCTAAGTGCTTTGTTAGTATATAAGTGCTTTGTTAGTATCTAAGTGCTTTGTTAGTATATAAGTGCTTTGTTAGTATATAAGTGCTTTGTTAGTATATAAGCCCTTTGTTAGTATATAAGTGCTTTGTTAGTATATAAGTGCTTTGTTAGTATATAAGTGCTTTGTTAGTCATTCTATTGCTCGAAGTGGAGTCGAAAGAGATGAGTCTTCAGTCTGCGCTGGAAGATGTGTGAGCTTTCTGCTGTCCTGATGTCAATGGGGAGCTCATTCCACCATTTTGGAGCCAGGATAGCAAACCCACGTGTTTCTGCTGATGGGAACTTGGGTCCCCCTCGCAGTGCGGGTGCAGCGAGCCGTTTGGCTGATGCAGAGCGGAGTGCACGTGCTGGGGTGTACAGTTTAACCATGTCCTGGATGTAGGAAGGGCCAGATCCATTCACAGCATGGTACGCTAGTACCAGTGTCTTGAAGTGGATTATAGCAGTTACTGGAAGCCAGTGAAGGGAGCGGAGGAGCGGTGTGGTGTGGGAACATTTAGGAAGGTTGAAGACCAGACGAGCCGCTGCATTCTGGATGAGCTGCAGAGGTCGGATGGCAAATGCAGGTAGACAGCTGACTGGCAGTTCCACAGGCCACCTGTAACTAGATGTTGGATCTCAGTGGAGCATGTGGGATAGACGAGAGCAGGCCGGTTATAACGATTAGGAGATGCACAGGGCCAGTGATAATTGCAAGAGGACACATGAACAGGAATGGAGTATATACACATGTTTTAGCATGAAGGGCTAAAAAACACCAGCGATACTTAGCTCAATCAAAGTAGGATTTGCCTCCTAATGAAAATACTTAAGTGAAGTACTAAGGTACATTTTTTTTACAAGGACAGCATCAGTAAAAAAAAAAGTGCACCTTAATATATGTGATTTATACTTAGTACATTTAATTAATTGTATGTTTTTTTACATGTTTTAAATAAAATCTAATATCTAAATTGAATGTTAGAGCATCAGAAATAGCTCACTGAGTACATCAATCAAGTGCATATGAAAGTATACTTGATAAACTCAGATTAAGTTCACTTCAAGGCAAGGCAAGTTTATTTATATTAAAAAATGTTCAGCATACTTAATCTGTTTTTAGATTTTTATTAATATTAGATTTTTATTTTCTATTTCTGTTGTACCTACATGTTCACTTTGTTTTATGGGGTTTTCTATTTTATATTGTTGCATCGACTCAGTTGTCTTGTGTCTTGTCTGTCGGAGAGAAATCATTATTTATTTTATTTGGTATCATACATTTTACCTTCTTGTGTCAATTAACCTGCTAACATGTCATATTTTGCTGCATGTACCTTTTAAAGTTCTTAAAGGGCCCTGTCTCTGCTGCCCCTGAACGCCTCGTTGGAGATTTCTCTTTTTCCATTTTTTTCTTCCGGGTCATAGTGACGTAACGGCTCCACGGATTGGTCAAAATGGACCAATCCACGTAACTCCTCAAACACACACTCACTCAGCCTCATCTTTTCTCAGCCGCGGCTCCGCGGATCTCCGCCCCACGCAGCAACCAGGAAACGACACCAGTAAGCCAGCTCACACTGTCCGCTCCTCGATCCTCAAATGGCGGAGCAGCGAGCCCTGCAACGTCCCGCCAACATGGCACCCAGACCCCACGCAGCATTCTCATCTGTTTGTCCTTACTGGTGTCATTTTCTGGTTGCTAACAAACGCCATTGTAACACATAATCACTGATGTTCAGCTGTAACGGTGGTGGACTCATCAGAATAGAGTGGGTGAGCTGACCAATCAGAGCACAGTGGGCTCACAGGGAGGGGGGGGGGGGGGGGGGGGGGGGGGGGGGGGGGGCAGGAGCTCCAACAAGCCGTGTAGGACAGAGAGTGAATACACATACTATACAGAGATGCTGTTTGAGAAACCAATGTGATTTTGGAACATTGAACAATATACATCTATTCTAGTAGACCTCAACAATGGAACTATGATCAGTAGAAATGGCCATGACATGGGACCTTTAACAAATAATCTGAGGGGAATTTCTTGTTGTTTATTTGTAACTTGTTGTTATTTTGTAAAGCACTTTGAGCTGCATGTGTTGTATGTAAAGTGCTATATAAATAAAGCTTTATTATTATTCTCCTGTGAAAGTCCTAACCCTGTGTCCTGTCCTCAGAGCCTTCAGATCTTCTTCATGTTTTGGACTCAGAGAGCCTCAGTGACCTCCAGCTTCTCGGCTTCACTCCAGATGTGGAAACTGATATCCTGAAGAACAAAAGCCTCCGTCTGAACACACTGCTGCAGATCTCCCAGAATCCTCCAGGATCCAAGAGGAGTTCCTACACACAGATAACCCCCTCCTCCTCCTCTTCACTGCTGTTCTTCAGAGACAGACTTCAGGCTGTGCAGACGTTCCTCTCTCACAGGAACATCTGCACAGCTGTTTCTCCTCTGAATGACTTCCTGCAGGATGAGTGGGATCACATCACAGATTCAGTTTCCTCACTCCTCTCTCAGCTTCATCACTGCACCCCTCCTCTCCTGGAGGTGTCTCACCTGGAGAGGAGGGCGGAGCTTCTGGCTGTTTACCTCCAACACCACGCCTCCTCAGATCCTCCAGGAGCGTTCAGACTGTCAGCTTTCAGAAACCCCAGAGGCTTCCTGCAGGCCCTGAGGAGAGAAGCTGCTCTAAAACACTGCAGAAACATCAGTGACATCACCCTGCAGTATCAGGTAATACAGTCATAATGATATCAGGTAACACAGGTGATACAGTCATAATTATATCAGGTAACACAGGTAATACAGTCGTAATTATATCAGGTAACACAGGTGATACAGTCATAATTATATCAGGTAACACAGGTGATACAGTCATAATGATATCAGGTAACACAGGTAATACAGTCATAATGATATCAGGTAACACAGGTGATACAGTCATAATGATATCAGGTAACACAGTCATAATGATATCAGGTAACACAGTCATAATTATATCAGGTGATACAGTCATAATTATATCAGGTGATACAGTGATAATTATATCAGGTAACACAGTCGTAATTATATCAGGTGATACAGTCATAATGATATCAGGTAACACAGTCATAATTATATCAGGTGATACAGTCATAATTATATCAGGTAATACAGTCATAATTATAACAGGTGATACAGTCATAATGATATCAGGTAACACAGTCATAATTATATCAGGTGATACAGTCATAATTATATCAGGTGATACAGTCATAATTATATCAGGTAACACAGTCGTAATTATATCAGGTGATACAGTCATAATGATATCAGGTAACACAGTCATAATTATATCAGGTGATACAGTCATAATTATATCAGGTAATACAGTCATAATGATATCAGGTGATACAGTCATAATGATATCAGGTAACACAGTCATAATTATATCAGGTAACACAGTCATAATTATATCAGGTAACACAGTCATAATTATATCAGGTAACACAGTCGTAATTATATCAGGTGATACAGTCATAATTATATCAGGTGATACAGTCATAATTATATCAGGTAACACAGTCGTAATTATATCAGGTGATACAGTCATAATGATATCAGGTAACACAGTCATAATTATATCAGGTGATACAGTCATAATTATATCAGGTAATACAGTCATAATTATAACAGGTGATACAGTCATAATGATATCAGGTAACACAGTCATAATTATATCAGGTGATACAGTCATAATTATATCAGGTGATACAGTCATAATTATATCAGGTAACACAGTCGTAATTATATCAGGTGATACAGTCATAATGATATCAGGTAACACAGTCATAATTATATCAGGTGATACAGTCATAATTATATCAGGTAATACAGTCATAATGATATCAGGTGATACAGTCATAATGATATCAGGTGATACAGTCATAATTATATCAGGTAACACAGTCATAATTATATCAGGTAACACAGTCATAATTATATCAGGTAACACAGTCATAATTATATCAGGTAACACAGTCATAATTATAACAGGTGATACAGTCATAATTATATCAGTGACATCACACTGCAGTATCAGGTAACACATGCACATCATGATGATTTAAATACAAAATAAAAACGAATAGCGATGATTTTGACCGATATTGCAATCGTAAAATTATTCTTGATATTTTGGGAGAATCAAACCAGAGAAGGAAGTTATATATTTATAGGAGACTTAATGATAAATGTACTACAATAATAATGTTCAAATGTTCAAACCCAGTAAAATAAAGTAGTTAATGTCCTGCTTTTTGCAGGTGCTGTAGGTTGTGATTCCTCACTGTTTTCTCTCCTTCAGGTCCTGAGTGACAGCTCACACTCTCTTCCTCTGGACGCTGTGTATCTGTGTGGCCTGGAGTTGAGAGGTGCATCATGGGATATGCAGTCCGCGGCTCTTCAGGACTCTCTGCAGCCGCGCTCTCTGCTTCTGCTCTGTGTGAAAGCTAACGTCAGGATCTCAAACAGAGTAGAGAAGAGTTCAGATTTACAGGAAGTCCCTCCCCCTGCTGCCTCTCAGCTTCCTGTCTACCTGTGTCCACTCGTCCTCCATGATGAGGGCTCAGAAGATGCTAATATCATAGCTAAGATTCCCCTTTATGCTAAGCTAAGTCCTGTGTTGTGTAGCTTGAGGAGGGTGAGGCTGGTGAGTCTGCTCTGATGCAGAAACACAACTGATGGACCACTCTGGATTTATTAAGTCATTCTACAGGAAAACCTTTGTAAATGTATTCATCACTTCTGTGCAAGCCTCTTCATGCATTACGTTTCGTAAGGATTCTGTAATGTTCTTCATTAAAATGTTTTACACATTGTCATAATGTCGCTTTAAATCATTGTGTTTGATCTCCCATTACTGCGACAGAGGCAGAGGACACATTTACTGATTCAAGATTCAACTTGACAAACTCAAAAAAGCCTTGAATCATCACTTGGACTTTAACAACAATGACTTTAACAACAATGACTCGTTACTTTTCATGCACTGAAAACACTGAAGCATTGACTTTGATTTAATGTTTTATGTCAACAGATTTCACATCCCTGTATTAGGTTAGTTTGAAGCAATGATATTAAGTTGAACCTATTTACACTTAAGATTATTGCTTTCAACTAAACTAAAACATTGATGTGAAATCTGTTGAGAAAATACATTTAATTAAAGTCAATGCTTCAGTGTTTTCAGTGAGGACTTTAACCTTCTGACGTGAACATTCTTTCTCCCAAGCCTTAAGATTAAAGTTATTTAAAGCGTTTACAACAAAATAACTCACTTCCTGATTCAACTAACGCTAAATATCTATTTCTTAGTTGACACAATTCCCTAGATCCACTTCATTCAGCTTCCAGGTGAGTTGCAGAAGAGATCCATGAAGAGCTCTCGTTACTGATCACCACTGGAGAAATAATGTACACAATTATAATTGTGTACATTATTTTGCAGAAAACTAAAAGCATAATGTAAAACGTACAGTTCAAAAGTGTTCGATGGCACATTATGACTTGTTTCGGAATCAAAATGTGGTTTAAAGTTGAGTAAAAAAAGTGCTTTAAAAACTTGGTAAGACTTGGTAAAACCACATCCAATATCATACTGTCTATAATCAGCTGGATTTATTCTGGTGATGCTCTTTTAAAAGCTGGTAAAATATGTATGTTTATAAGTATTTTGATGCACAGAATGCATTATGTGATGTTTTATCATTATCTACAGAAGGAGTGTGGACTTTGTTGGCGGTGCTAAACTAATGCCTCTCTCCTCCTGTAGGTAACATGGACAGACACCATTATGACACCTTTGAGAAGTTTGGCAACAACACGTTCCTGATTCACCTCGACAACGGCAGGGCGTGAGTGTCTTCTGAGTGTGTGTGTGTGTGTGTGTGTGTGTGTGTGTGTGTGTGTGTGTGTGTGTGTGTGTGTGTGTGTGTGTGTGTGTGTGTGTGTGTGTGTGTGTGTGTGTGTGTGTGTGTGTGTGTGTGTGTGTGTGTGTGTGTGTGTGTGTGTGTGTGTGTGTGTTAATGTACTTACTAACTGATTCTGGGTCTTGTTACAGATTCGGCCGTCACTCCAAAGATGAACCGTCTATCCTCGTTCCTCTCGAACAGTGCTGCAGGTACAGGAGCTCGATGCATTATTTTAAAGAGTCCTCTCCTGCTGATGTTCAGGTGTATATCAGTATGTAGTGTCTCTACTTTAAAGAGTCCTCTCCTGCTGATGTTCAGGTGTATATCAGTATGTCGTGTCTCTACTTTAAAGAGTCCTCTCCTGCTGATGTTCAGGTGTATATCAGTATGTAGTGTCTCTACTTTAAAGAGTCCTCTCCTGCTGATGTTCAGGTGTATATCAGTATGTAGTGTCTCTACTTTAAAGAGTCCTCTCCTGCTGATGTTCAGGTGTATATCAGTATGTAGTGTCTCTACTTTAAAGAGTCCTCTCCTGCTGATGTTCAGGTGTATATCAGTATGTAGTGTCTCTACTTTAAAGAGTCCTCTCCTGTTGATGTTCAGGTGTATATCAGTATGTAGTGTCTCTACTTTAAAGAGTCCTCTCCTGCTGATGTTCAGGTGTATATCAGTATGTAGTGTCTCTACTTTAAAGAGTCCTCTCCTGCTGATGTTCAGGTGTATATCAGTATGTAGTGTCTTTACTTTAAAGAGTCCTCTCCTGCTGATGTTCAGGTGTATATCAGTATGTAGTGTCTTTACTTTAAAGAGTCCTCTCCTGCTGATGTTCAGGTGTATATCAGTATGTAGTGTCTCTACTTTAAAGAGTCCTCTCCTGCTGATGTTCAGGTGTATATCAGTATGTAGTGACTCTACTTTAAAGAGTCCTCTCCTGCTGATGTTCAGGTGTATATCAGTATGTAGTGTCTCTACTTTAAAGAGTCCTCTCCTGCTGATGTTCAGGTGTATATCAGTATGTAGTGTCTCTACTTTAAAGAGTCCTCTCCTGCTGATGTTCAGGTGTATATCAGTATGTAGTGTCCCTACTTTAAAGAGTCCTCTCCTGCTGATGTTCAGGTGTATATCAGTATGTAGTGTCTCTACTTTAAAGAGTCCTCTCCTGCTGATGTTCAGATGTATATCAGTATGTAGTGTCTCTACTTTAAAGAGTCCTCTCCTGATGATGTTCAGGTGTATATCAGTATGTAGTGTCTCTACTTTAAAGAGTCCTCTCCTGCTGATGTTCAGGTGTATATCAGTATGTAGTGTCTCTACTTTAAAGAGTCCTCTCCTGCTGATGTTCAGGTGTATATCAGTGTGTAGTGTCTCTACTTTAAAGAGTCCTCTCCTGCTGATGTTCAGGTGTATATCAGTATGTAGTCTCTCTACTTTAAAGAGTCCTCCCTCCCCAGGATCCGGCGCTCCACTTGGCTCCGCCTCCGTCTCCTCTCTCTTCCTGGTTATCGTCTGAGTGATGTGATGAGGGCGTCTCTCTCCCATGATGCATTGCAGCGTGTGGCGCCCCTCCTCTCTCAGCCTCACCTTTCTGCTCTGGACCGCAGGCTGCAAACAGTTCTTCAGACTGTGAGTCTCTGCGAGGAGAGGAAGAGGAGGGAGGAGGGTGATGAAGATCAGGTCATTTATGACGACATCACTCACCTGAAGGGGGAGGAGCCTCCTGCAGGTTAGGAATCTACTTCCTGTTTCTGAGGACACCTGGGATGCAAAATCCAGATTAATGAAACGTCAAAAGGACTCAACATTTTTATTTACATTTAAATAACTGTGTCAAAGAAAAAGGAAAATACAATTTTAAGACACTTTCACCATTTCCCAGGAAGCAAATATATATAAATAAAGAATATTGAAATACATACATTTTGCCATTGTTTTGTAATCTACTTTAAACTTTTTGGAAATCTCCATCTCCTGCTTGTTTTTAATGAAAAGGCGTTTAAATTATTCTGTGAATTCAGGTTCAGATTTCGGCTGAGAAAGGAGGAGAAATTAATCTGAGGTTAAGAAATGTGAGCCACATTTTAGGGAGAAAAAGTCGTAACATTTCGTAATATTTAGACCAGTGGTTCTCAATTGGTCAGGCCTCGGGACCCACTTTTTTCCTTCGTCAATAAATCGCGACCCACAATTTTGAACTGCTCAAATCTATTCAACAAAAAATCAGCATACAATATTAATTAAAGTGAAGTACAGTGCATATATCCTTATATCCCTTCACAGAACTAAATTATGCTTTTAAAGTAAGTTTAATCTGATGATGGTCATTAAGTTTCTAGAATCAAAGCTGAACTGTATAACAAAAAAAGGCACACTTGACTTGTATTAAAAAAAAGGCACACTTGGAGCCTGCAAATCCACCACACGTTCAAAACGTGACATGCTGAAAACCCAACCCCAGCAGAAATACTAACATATAAACTACGCATTCTGGTACACTCTGAGAAGAAAATAAATAAATCTATTACTAGCCGACATATTAATAATATTTTATGCCATTTTTTTATTTTTACTTTACTTTGTACTGACAGCTGAACTTGCTGCTCCTCACAGAGAGAAGAGTAAAGAGGAGATAGTCTGTGTGAATTACTTTAAATTGTGGGTAAGGGTAGATAGCCCCCATTGTTCTGTGACCTGTCAATCATCAAACCGGGGGTCGTATTTCATCAGGTGTTCATTTTTATCTGAAGTTGTACCCATGGATGTATAAAGAATAGTGCTACCGCAAAGTTATTCTGCCGTTATCTTGATTCTGATTGGCCAGCCCAGAAGACTCGAAAAAACATCAGCAAAGATGTTTTATTGAGAAGATGATCACTACGTTTTCAAAACCATTTTTGTTCTCCGGCATTTCCAGTCCAACGCCTACTGCATGCGCAGCGTTAGAAAATCGGGCTTTTAGAAAAATCTGCGACCCACTCGAAATTGGTCCGCGACCCACTTTTGGGTCGCGACCCACCAGTTGAGAACCACTGATTTAGACAAAAGGTTCAAATAATAAAAAAAAGAAATTCGATTACATTTGAACTTTTATAGAGAAAACTTGTAATATTTAGAGGAAAAACGTCATAATTCAGTGGAAAGAAAACAAAGTCCAATATTTCAGCAGATCATCTGGAGAAAGAATATTGTAATGTTTAAAAAACAAAGTCTTAATAATGTCACAAAGCTGTTTGTAATCCAATTAAAAAAAGTTAAGTAAATATTTGATATAAATAATTGTGAGTCGCTGCATGGAGAGGAAGAGGAGGGAGGAGGGTGATGAAGATCAGGTACTTTATGATGACATCAGTCACCTGAAGGGGGAGGAGCCTCCTGCAGGTTAGGAATCTACTTCCTGTTTCTGAGGATACCTGGGAGATTTGATACTTATTATGATACTCTGCAAACTTAAGCAGTATCAAATTGATAAACAAAATATTATTGACTTACAAATTATACATAAACAAATGCAACAGATGCAAAATCCAGATGAATGAAACGTCAAAAGGACTTGTTGTTTCTTTATATTTAAACCAGTGTCAAAGCAAAAGTAATACATTCATGTTTTAAACCTTATAAAGAGTTGTGTTTTCAAGTGATATAGGAAGCAACAATAGTAACATAGGAGGTCTGATTAATATCCAGAATAATGAATACAGGCCTGCCGACTCCAACAAGGCGTCCCTGGCTGGGCTCTCATAAAGGTCAGACTTTTACAGAGTTAAACTTCAAGAACCAAAACGGCTTAGTGGAAACGCTTGATGAGCGTTGATCAGTGAAATATAGGCTGAAAGTCTTTATTCAAATACAAATGTATATGTACTGGGGATGTAACGATACCAAAAACTCACGGTACGATAATATCACGATAACAAGTCCACGGTACGATATTTATCACGATATTGAAAAATAAAGAAAATAATTACTTGAAAAAATGATCTTTATTAAAGTGGACCTATCATGCTATATTTGAACAATATATTGTAGGGCCATACCTATATAAAGTATATACATTTAGTTTTTTTTTCAAAATACCAAACAGATCCTGCATTTTAGCCATGCCTCATTTCGCTCTATTTGCTCTATTCCAGCCCTGTTTTTGCAGGGGGCTGATTCTGTGAGCTGCAGCTGACCACGCCCCCCCGCAGGAGAGGGGAGCGTGCTTTGAGATCAGCTGCTGGACTGTCAGAAGAGGGGGGGATCTCCGTCCTCTGTGTTGTATTATATTATTATATAGATTCGTTATTCATTTGTTTTAAAGCTCAATAAATAACAAAGAAGACCTTTGACCGGCACTTTTCTAATTTTGTCCGGAAGATTTAAACTTTAATGGACATCTTGACCGGCGAAAAAAAATCTAACTGAAACTCTGCCGCACGGTCCCCTCGGTCCTTGGAAGAGGCGGAGAGGTGGGTGTTTGTCATCTGCTGGTGGACTAACCGGAGAGAATTACAGTGCTTGCCTCGACGGGGAGGGGTTGCATTGAATTAAAGCAGCGGGAGCAAACGCTTGCCTCTGGGAGGGAGAAAGAAAGCCACAGCGGAGAATAAACAGAAGGGCAACCATGGCAACCATGCGCGGGAAGTCTTCTTCGCTGCTTTTGTGGCAGACTACAGCGCCACTTACAGGCCTGGCATATGTACTACAGCGTCTCCAGCGCTTTCGAGCGGCAATGGCCGGCCGTGGCCCAACCCCACATTCCCCTGATAGGTGGAGAGTTGCCCATATAGGCGGAGCTCCTCGTTCCTGATGTCAGAGAATGTTCAAATCTGTATCAGCTCCGTAGCCCCTTTTTTAGAGATTTGGGTATGGAGGAAAAGAGAGAGGGTTGTGTTTTCTGACACTTGGTGAGTTCCCTGACACACCGGGGACACATATTCATGTATAAAAGACGTACAAAAGTGCATTTTGCATGATAGGTCCCCTTTAAATAATACATTACATTACATTACATGTTACTTGTTAGACGCTTTTATCCAAAGCAAATACTGTGGGCAATCCCCACAGGAGCAGTTTGGGGTGAAGTGTTTCAGGGACACAACGACATGCTGACTGCAGTGGGGTTTGAACCTGTGCTCCCCTGATCCCAACACCAACGCACTAACCCACTGTGCCACATGCCTTATAAATCTGATTTGTAAAGCATTTTAGTAGGATAGTATTTTAAAGGGTCAAAAACAAAGTGACAGTAACAGACTGGAACAAGAACAACCAGTGTTTTTTTACCTACTAGTACTACCAAACAAAGTAGGCATTTTCTTTCATAGTGTGGGTTAAATCCATTTTCATAATCACTGTCTTTTAACTGATTTAAATGCGGGAACTGGGCTTATTCATCAGCATTTTTTATGGCTTGACTTGACTTGCTTGACCTGAGCAATGACTTGACTTGACTTGACTTGCTTGACTCTCACCACAGTGACTTGGGACTTGCTTGATACTTGTAGGTCAAGACTTGAGACTTGCTCATGACTTGCACATGTAGGAATTACTCCCACCTCTGCCAATTGGTAGATAGGCTGTATTTACACCATAACGGTGCACAGCTGATAGAAAGGGACACCTAGTGGTTAAAGCACGTTATTGAATTGTATTATTTTTATTATTAGATATTAATAGGAGACACAGACAGACAAACTAATAAGGCTTTATTTAAACATTAAAATACTTTAGGTTAAGGTCTTCTTTTGAATAAGAAAAAAGCTTTGGGGGTATCTAAATATTAAGCCTGACAAAGTACTAATATATTGCTTTCCTGCAATGTTAACTACTGTATGTTTAAGCACTTATTTTAACTGATATTATACATATGTATTATACTCTTATAAGATGTATGTAGATAGTATAAGAAATGTGCAGAATACGACAGTTTAATGGTGGAGGTACACACATATTGATAGATGTCTTGTAATGCACTGTTGAGGAACCTGCGACCCAAGTTTTTCATCTCCGACCTTGTCAGGTATTGAACATTCAATAAATAAAGAACACAGAATGATTAAATATAAAACACAGAATTTGTGTGATTATACTAAATGATTTACAAATAAACACCACTGCATATTTGAGTGGGAATGCTGATACAGCATTCCAACTATATGTTATGCTGCGGACAAAAAGTTTATTATTCCATCCAACTATTTTGTCCGTCTTCTCCTCCCACATTCAACATCGCAGAAACTCCGTTCAAACATCAAAACGTTCAGCTCGGTCGGGAATCGGGCGCCATTACTTTTATCATTCATAACTTTCATAATTCCAGAGATACATCCCATAATACATCACATTTTTAACATTTGAATTTTAACATTGCGCAGCTCGTTAAGTTAGAGTGCGTGATGTCACAACTAGAGGGTAGGAAATCTTGAAATTTCCCTTCATATTTTTTTTTAAAACTGCCATAATTCCCAAACCCTACATTCCTGAGACATACTTTTGAGCTTGAAACATGACAAATAATTAAACAAAATGCCTCTTGAGGGCATGAAGTGACAAAAACGTTCAACATGTCTCCATTAAAGCCCATTGTAATTTCAGGCAGATATTTCCTCACAGCAGCAGCCGCACACCTTTCTTAAACTGCCAAAAAGGCCACATTATTAACCCGAAAGTACACACAAATTACACTTCAGATACTCAACTTCCTTGACATGCTTCACGTTTTGAAATTTCACAGATATCTGTTATCGTTCTTCCACAAAACGTTCACATGTAAGAGGTTCATCTCTCA